TTCCCTCTGGAACACTCCATCCCAGGGACCTCCTTCTCCCCGGAACACTCCATCCTGGGATCCTCTTTCTCCCCGGAACACTCCATCCTGGCATCCTCCTTCAGACAAAGGCAGCCAAAGCAGCCCTGGAGAGGGATTCCAAGAGAACAATGAGAAGTGCCTGCTCCTCCAGTGGGTTCACTAAAATGCACTCCTTATCTCTGAAGGGTTACGTAGAGTATGCTGTATGGTGTATATCTAATACCACATGCTTTGCTGCTCTGTGCCTGGCCTCTGCATTCTGTTTCTCCTGTCAGGGCTCTAAAATGGAAATAAACCCTCTGTAAATAACCAGCACCCTTGGTCTGGCAGTGTGGTTACTGCAACTGAAGGGCAGTCATTTGTTTTGGCCTTTGAAAAGACTGTGTTCCCTTCACAAAGTGAGCCTCCCCTCTGTTGCAGAGCAGTTCTCTGTACCTGGGTGTCCCCAGTAGGAGGAAATGAGGGGAACAATGCATACTGGCAAGTCACCTTCTTAGGGGCTGTACCTTTCTTTAACTGTCTGCCATATGAGACTTTTTGATCCCATGAGCTCAGATTAGCCCAAAGACATGGTCATGTGCACATAGGCCTTGCATCACTGGAATGAGTTGAATGGCAAAAGAGGAAGCAAGACTTAGGTGCCCTGGGAACTCAAGGGAAGCGTGGTTTTACATTATGGAGGGGTCAGAATGTCTTTTCATTGGCTTCACAGGATGCAAAAGGAGAGGGGAGGGGAGGGACATCGTGAGCAAAGGCATCAAGCTGAGAGACCAGGCCATGACTGGGATGGAGGCAGAGAGCAGTAGGGGAGCAGGAGGAATCTTAAACACTGTGCTCTAGACACTGTCTTGTAACCAGCAGTTCTCCAAGTTTGGAGGTATGCTAGGCCCATCCCAACTGGACCTGTTAAAAGGGCAGATCTCTGGGTCTCACTCTTAGAAATGTCTGGGCTGGGCAGATCCCAGGCTGGGTGGTATGACAGAAAAAGGGGACAGGTTAGAGACTGAGTTTAGGAGAGCCACTGGGAAGCCATTGCCACCATCATGGTGAGAGGCAGAGACAACTTTTGAGACCTAGTGCTGCAGGAGTGTAGACACATGAGGCAGACGCAGCTCAAATCCTTTGTGCGCTGTGTTCAGCAGAGCTTGGCCAAGAGCTTCTCTAAAGACAGTACCAGCGTCAGGGTACAAAAGGTGCCAAAGGGCTGGAGAGATGGCTCAGTGGTCTAAAGCACCTACTTGAAACAAGCTTGGCAAAGCACAGGGACCGCGGTTCGATCCCCAGCACCACATGCTAGCCAGACCCGCCCCCTGGTGGGCTGAGCTGGCCACACACACACACACACACAATAAATAAATGTAATAAATAAAAATAAATATTTAAAAAAAAAAACAAAAGGTGCCAAAATTTGCTGAGAGTGAGAGCTCCTCCGGGATGCACTCATGGTTTGCCCTTGGGTTTTGGCTTGGGTCTTGGTGGACCATGATGCATGAACTTTATATTGTGACATCCAAAGATGCTTAGGTTCTAGGGAGAGTTTATTTTGACATGGAGTGGGGACAATGTTTTGCCCTGCTTCTTCTAGTGATTTGTCACCTGTTTAGCTGAAGAAAAGGGAGGCAATCAGGACATGGTGGGTGCAGATGTCAACAGGGGTATACATAACAAGGGCAGAGGACTGGTGAAGTCTAAAGGACAGGGTTTAGCTTCGCTGAGTTAGAAAATTTTATGAAACACACTTGGCAGTAAGGAATAGTGGATTTCAGAAGAAAGGGTAGGTTCAAAGACAGTGACATGAAATTCATTAGCAGGGAGGTGGGATATGGCCTGGGAGGATACTGCGTATCATCATCTCCTGGGAATGGACGGAAAAAGGAGAACCCAGAAGGTGGGCAGGGCAGATACCATCATAGAAATCATGAAGAAAAGGGAAGACCCACAAAAGAGAGAAAGAGAGATAAGCAGAATAGCAAGAGCTGGATCCCTGAAAAGAATTGCAGTGCCTAGAAGCCAAGGAGGAAATACAGGTCAAGGGGGTTGTCTTGATCACCCACACCTACAACACAGAGAAAGAGAAGATGATTTGGCTTCACAGTTTGTTGAGGTTTCAGTCCCTAGTTGGCTGGCTGCCAGGCAGAAGAGGCATGGACGCAGGGCCTGGGGAAGAAAGCCGCTCACCTCATGGTGGCCAGGAAGCAGAGTGAAGGGAGGGCTTGGGAAGGCAGAGGAACCCTTCCAACTCACGCCCACAGTGGCCCGCCTCTTCCAACCAGAACTCACCTCCTGACAGTGAGTCATCCATGTCCCCCAGGATCCAGTCACCCTCCCAGAGCTCCTCCATGAACACAAGAGGCTTTGGAGGAATACTCTAGATCCAAACTGTAAGCAGGACAAAGGAATCAATAGCATACAGCAGCTCAGGGTGAAGGCCTCCCCTGCAAACATCTTTGGGAGCAGGACCCAGGGCAGCCCTGCCATCTCTGAGGGAGTATTCAGGAAGCAGGATGCTGCCTGTGTTTCAGTCTTTCATAGTTATCTATCCCTTCTTCTTGAATATCCTTTTCCTCCCTTTCTCCTTCCACTCTACTTTCAAAAGCCTTTCAACTATGTCAAAGGCAGGAAACTGCCCTTACACCCCTCTTTCTATAGAGCTTATAGTAAATATTATATGTCCAGTTCTTGAATACCTGTACATCTTTTATTCTTACTACAATCATAACCCTTAAAATGTTTCCAGACCTTGCATTCTGTGTTACTCTTTCAAAAGCTAAAACGTGTCTGTCTTTCACTTAAAATGATACATACTCCAGCTTCAGTAGTTGAGGAACCATAGGGCAAGGAGAATTGCTAAAGATGTAGAACGTATCAAGAGCGCTGCCCTCTCATACACATAAATATCACTGTGGAAGTTTCATTTAGGACCCCAGAGTCATCGATAAGCGTAGTTCTATTAGATATTCAAATGGCCAGTGCATTCTTCCTGTGTGCAGAACATGATACTTTCTTTCCCTAAATCTATCTCCAAGGCATGAGGAAGAGTGTGAAGCCGGCTGTGCACTGCACACTCCTCTTTGCAGCAGCTGTCCTGGGTGGAAGGGGGAGAGGCTTTAGAATGAAAGGGAACTGGGGTGTAGAAGTCGATGTCTTACATGAAAAGCTTGACCATCTTTAGAAGTATGATAGAAATACAAAGGATGGGTAAGAAGTCCTAAGGCCAGGTCATTAAGCCATGGAAGTAAGGACATTCAGAACATGTAGTTAGCCTTGAAGCGAAGAACATTTACAGGAAGAGGTTGGCCAAGGAGTTCCCAGCAAGGACCCAAAGACTTTGCTGGGAACAGACACAGGACATTAGTTTGGGCCAGGAGGCTGACAGTACATAGAACAATGCTTAGAGATGCTTAGGACGTGGTCCAGCATGCAGCACATTTATCTGTGGTTTTGTCCAACTTGGTGATCACTAGAAACTGCTCACATGTGGGGCTTGTGATTTCAGTGCCCCAGAAAGTCACAAAGTGAAGAGTCAATGGTGCTGGTTAAGGTAGACAAGCCCGGAGTGGAGAGCCAGGAGGTCCAGAATTCTAGTTTTGCCACTAATTGATGGAATAGCTTCTAGAAAATCTATTCCTTACTCTAGGCCTAAGTTTCTTAGCTGTACAAGAATAGTAGATTGTCTAGTCACAGAGGGCTACTCACCTGTGTGTGTGTGTGTGTGTGTGTGTGTGTGTGTGTGTGTGTGTGTATCCAGGTAAATGGAAAAATAGCAGAGCTGATATACTTTTATTGTGGGGTCAAAGAGACTTCTGTAAGTTGCGTAAAAGGTTTCATTATTAGACCAGACATCTCCACTTTAAGTGACAGAATTTCAACATAAGCAGCCTAAAGGGAAGGGAGAGAGAGAGAGAGAGAGAGAGAGAGAGAGAGAGAGAGAGAGAGAGAGAGAGATCCACAGAAACTAAAGATCCAAGGCTTCAGGATGCTTAGACCAAAAGAGTCATACATCAGACACAGCTTCTTGCACTTCTGGCCTTGCCCATAGTCCCACTGTCCCCTGACCAGCAGCAGTACACTCAGCAGAACTCTATGAAGTGATCATTAGCAGATCCGGGCTCATGACCAACCACTTAGCAACCCAGGAGAGAATGACTCTCTCTTTCTCTAACATAATTTGCACACCAGCCTTTTCTTGCCATGGCCAAGGTCACATCCCAGCTCTGAGCAGTGGCTGTGACCAGAAGGCCCAAGGCTTTGATAAATCACTTCCACATCCCTGCAACCACAGATGAGGTCAGCTCGTCTCTGGCTGCTTACACCAGCCATGAGGAAAGTGGGAGCCCCAAGAAAAATCCGTATGTGATTATTGGAAGGGGCAACAGATGCCAGGAGATCAGAAGTAACAGATGCTGCAGGCAGAGTGATGAGCCGGTAGACCTGGCAGCCAGCACAAAGGAGTCCAAAGTGACCTGTGCTTCCTTCCTTGGCTGCAGTGTGTGGTTTACCCAAGATTCACCGGAAGCAAATGGCCCGAATCTTCAATGGACGCCCAGCTGAGAAGGGCACCACTCCCTGGATTGCCATGCTGTCACACCCCACTGATGTGCCCTTCTGTGGAGGTGCCCTGCTAGGTGAGGAGAAGGAGGAGAGGTGAAAGTGTTGGACTTGGGAGGACAAGGTGGAAGGTAAGAGCCTGGACTTTGAGAGACTGACCAAGGTCTCTTAGCTGAGAATCACTGCTCTCAACAGCATCAGCGCCCAGAAGCATGCTGTGGAAAAGAGAGCCCTTAGCTGGAACCGGGAACCGTGTGCTCTTGTTGATTCCTTCAGGCATCAAATGCTTCCTGAAGGGCTCAGTCAGAATTAGCATGCCCAGTGCAGATCACAACACGGGGCAGGTGGCCAGGGCTGCGGGAGAACCAGGAAGCTCTGGAAAGTCAGGGAAAGCATAGTCAGCAAAGGTAGATCTGAACACCATGCTTAGGAATTAAGACCTTATCCTGGACACTGCTGCAGATGTAGAGGCATATTCTAGAAAGTTCTTTCTAGGTGCAGCGTGACCCAAAAGGAGGGAATCTGGAGGCCAGCAGTGCAATGGTGGGAGAGGCATTAGTGGCAGATTAAGAACAGAACCTCAGGGACAAAAATAAGGAAGAAGATCCAGAACGCTGGAACGCAAGATTGTCAGTTTGGTTGCAGACTAAGCACAGGTCGGCACGGGAGCAAAGATGGGAAAAGTGTAGCTGGTGTGCTCTCTGCCTTAGTTTGGCCCCGATGCATGTGACTTCAGGATTATTTGAGCTCTGGCATTGTGAGAAAACAAAAATCTGGAGACCCAGGCTGGTTTCCATCTGAGCCCCTCAAAGAGAAAACAGTCCTAGATCTTTCTATCTGTCTGCGGGAAGCTCCCAGCTGCTGGCCCTGCTTCTCCCTCAGCCATGCCCTCCTCCAGACTGTGGTGAGCGTGGACATCTCCAGGCCACAAGAAAGGCACAGGGCTAGGGGTGCAGCTGAGGAGTCAGTGATAGCCACAGTGGCCAATGGGACACGTGAGCCCTGTGTTCCCATAGAGCCACGAGGAATGGGCTCAGGTCCTGAAGCCTTGCAAGAGTCAGGGTAAGAGTAAAGATGTTATGGGAGGGAGGTACAGCTAGGCAGGGCTGACGGCCGTCAGTGGGGAGATGGCAGGGGACAGGAGCAAGAAAGAGCAGAGAAAAGAGGTAAACAGAGGGGAAGGGATGGCAAGAAAGAGGAAACAAAGAGACAGATCAACGAGAGAGAGATAGAAAATCAAAGAAAACCGAAGAGTGAATAAGACAAAAACTAAAGAGACAGTGGAATGGGGTAAAGACAGACTGGTAGAACATAAGAGACGCAAGGGACAGGAGAAATCAGAAAAGAAGGAAAAGAGGGAGGAAGCCTATGTAGAGAGACTGAAGAAAGGCAGAGAGATGGAGAGGAAGAGCAGAAGGGAGAGAGGAAGAGAGGGAGGGAGGGAGGGAGGGAGGGAGGAGAAAGGAGGGAGGGAGAGAGGAAGGGAGGCGGGGCTGCTTCAGCAGACATTCTCAGTTTGTTTGGGAGCTGAGTAGAAGAAATGGATTAGGCACCCAGTGATTTCACTTAAATTCATATTCTTAAAGCATCAGTGTTTTGTGGCATGCTATTATTCCCTGTGACTTATGTTTGGCAGTTGGCTGAAACTTTCTTGTGTCCCCAGCTAAGCTTTACCCTCCCACAGCTCTTGTTCTATGAGCTCTTTCTTCCCATGGAAGGAGAAAAGATGGAAGAAGTAAAGGTAGTACAACCTAGAAAGAATGGGGGGGCGTCAAGAAAGTGGCCAAGCAGCAGCTCAGGTCTGTGCTGAGGCTGGCTGGAGCTACGAGGCACAGAGGCTGCTCTGGCCAGCACAGCCCTGGCTCACGTCAGCGGCCCAGATCCCTGCTGCAAACCAGACACTCCCAAGCTGCCCACCGGGGCAGTCTACCCTCCAGCTTGTGCATGGCCAGCACATGGCACTGCGTGGAGCTCTGTCTAGACCTGGGGGCCTGAGCACGCAGCTGTTTCTAGGTGGAGCCTGGCTTGCCCCAGAGAAGCCCCTCTGCTTTTGACTCTGAACTTTCACCTGGCACCCTTGCCTCTCCCTGTAAGCCCTAGGCCCAGCTACTTATGGATCAGCCGTCTGTCCACTAAATGGATGGCCAGAGGCCTGATTCTGTGTTAAACAAAGGGCAGAGACATACTCTGAGGTGAGGGTGGGGGTGGGGAGACAGCTGGGCCACGAGCACAGCAGGCTGAACACTGTGCCACACTGCTCTCTGTGGGCCTTTGGGTCCGTGGCTATAAAGGAGAGGTCTCCACCTGAGCCTCGTTGCTCAACCCCAGCAGCCCCAGAATCACCTGAAGGGACTTTTAAGGCCCGTCTGTGCCTGCACCTTCCCTGAGAAACCTAAGTCCTGCCGACTGCTTTCTAGTTCACGCCCCCGTGCGGCTGTGCCGCTAGTTACCGACCATTCCGCTGAGCACTGGCCAGACTCCAATGTGCACAGACTCGTGCAGGGCTCTAGCTCAGGTGCGAGCTCTAGTGTGGTCTGAGGTGGGCTTGCGAGTCTGTTTCTGAGGCATCACGGGTGATGCTTACACTGGGAGCGCAGGGATCACAGCTTGAGGAACAAGACCAAGAGGCCAGTGGCGAATGCAGCCTTCATTCACCCATCTTGAGTCTCACTCTGACCCACACTGTGGGCTTAAGGAAACCCTGAAGCCTTCTTTAAAATGTTCAGCTCTGGCTGGGTTGAGATGGACAGCTGAAAGCACTGCTGGTCTTCAGATTAGTGTTGCATCAGAGTCTGACATAGGGCCGTGAAAGGCGGTAGGGGGATGCGGGCATTTTCAGGGCCTTGAGAAGGGCCTTGGCATGGTCTGAAGATCCCCAGCGGGAGGCAGAAGAGGCTGGACATGGCAGACATGCATAGCTTCTGTCCTCCAGGCCTCAAGTGGCTCGTGACTGCTGCTCACTGCCTCCACCATCCTGTGGACACTGAGGGCCTACTACTCCACATCCTCCACCTACTCCACCCTTCGGATTTCAAAATCATCCTGGGTGAGTGAGGGATGAGCTGACTGCTGCAGCCTCTGCAGTTCCAGAAAGGAAGGTCCACGGTGGCCATTTGCCATGGTTGTCCTTTACACATTCGAGACAGCCACCTGATCCAACTCAGTTTAGCATCTGCTCACCTGCCAATACTCAGTCAGGATCTAGGGACACGGTACAGTCAAGACCAAGCTCCTGCCCTCCAGGAGCATACGGCTAATAAAAGAATGAGATACAAGTGCAGAGCCCTCTGTCATATGGTAGGAAGCAGAAAGCTCTCTAGGAGAGTGGCAGATAAAGTGTCGTCGGGGGGGGGGGGTGTCACAGGGGAGAGAAGGCTAAGTGGAGACCCAGCTTCACAGCTTCACAGAGTGATATGTTGCCCAGGCGCTGAAAGGCACCTGCCAGGCTTTGCCAGGGCAACAGAGAGAAGAGGAAGCATTCCTAAGGCAATGGGTGGCTCATAAAGAAAGGCCGTGGGGGAGCCTATGAGAATACATGGCACATTGCCAGCAGGCGGGGGCGTCGCTGGGTGAAGGGCCATGAAGGAGTGGGGGCAGCAGCAGGTGCGGGATGGGACCAGCAGCAGACAGGAAGTGAGGTGCGGCCTTATCCTCCATTTTCCCATTCCTCTCCTGCCTCTCCTGGCCCAGGCAAGCACTGGAGGCACCAGTCAGATGCAGATGAACAGCACCTCCATGTCAGGCAGATCATCCTCCACCCTCTGTACAACCCCAGCACATTTGAGAATGACGTGGCTCTAGTGGAGCTGTCAGAGAGCCCAACACTGAACAACTTCGTGATGCCCATCTGCCTGCCTGAGGGGCCCTCACAGGAAGGTACCTATCCTCAGCCCCTCATCCCACCTGGGGGAACAGCAGGAGCCTTAGTATGGAGTCTAGCACCCCCGGGGAGGTCCTGGTGCCCACTGAGTCAGCCAATGGGGTCTGCATGATTCCCTCCTCCATGACAGAAGAGCTAAGTCACAGCTGGTTCCGAGTTGCACAAGCAGCACCACACACGTAGCGAACAGGCAGGAGCAAGAGTCCAGACAGGAAAGTGAGTGTGGACTGCTGACCTCAGGGGACAGTGCAGCATAGAGTACAGGCTGGCTAGGAACGTGCAAGGGGGTGCAGAGCTGTGGAGATGCCTGCAGTAAGAAGCCACCCCCTCCAGGCATGGGGGAGTGAAAGTACGAGACTGTGATCACAGAACCCACTAACTTGAAACAGCCACCCCTGAAAGCCAGAACTCAGGCCTCCACAGAAGTGGCCAGAGCGCTACAGATCCAGCAAGACAAGCTGCCACCATGGCCGTGGAAGGCCAGAACCAGGCTGGAAACCACCCTGCTTTCAGGGACTGAGTGAACCCCAAGGACTTCCATACCAGCTCTGTACCTCAGCACCACAAAACAGGATACAGGAGAGTATGTCTCAACCTGAGGGACAACAGCTTACTAACCGGTGCAGGTTCGAATCCACTGCAGGCATTTCCTACTTGAGAGAACTTGAGGATGTTACTTCAACTAATTGAGCTTCAATCCCCTTTCTTCTAAATGGGAGGTAATATTCCTTGGGGCGGCTTTGATATTTAAAATAGAAAATAGAAATGACACCTTGCCGACACTGAGGAAGAGCTCAGTGCATGCCAACTGGCTTCCTTCTCATTCAAAAGCCATAGTATAATTCTCTTCCTACAACTCAGAGACATAAACAATTGCTTAAATGGATCTGAGAAGTGTTTAGAGAAATTGAGCCATCAGGAAATGTAGAGATATAGCTACACTCAATTCACTGAAGGTCATAGACTTACTTTGGACCAGTTGCTTCCCATTCATGAACTTGTTTGCTACTCATGAAAGCCCTGCAAGGTGGTATTATTGCTCCACTCCACAGATGGAAAAACTGAGTGCCAGCACAGGAAATCACAACAGATTTAAGCCCAGTGCTTTGTTAAGTATACAGGCTCCTTTTCAAATAAGAAGGCAATTGTTCTCTCAGCATCCAGCCAATTTCCAATGTCCCTGGATTTACCAATTGCCTCAGTTGCTAGAGTGTCAGAGCTGGAAGAGGTGTGAGAGAACACCAGGCCCAGAATACTTCCTTGTTTTCTGAGTAGAAAGACAATAAGAGGGGGAGAAGAGCAGAGAGGGCTTGCTAATACCCCAGGACATTGCTGAGTCGGCTGGGCTTTTTATTCATTCATTCATGATTATTAACTGAGCACCTATACACCAGCACCATTACAGGCATGGAGATTCAGCAGCAAACTAGAAAGATGGGTTACCACTTCCACAAAGGCTAGGCAGAATAGACAAACAAAGGCAGTGCAGACGTAGAATCCGGTGCCCTGCTCTGGGGCAGTTCACCTGCAAGCCAGAAGCCCTTCCCACCTTCCTCCCCATCTTTCCACCTTTCTCTGGGGCAGCCAACCCAGTCCTCCTTCCACGGAAAGAGGAGCGCGAACCTCCCCACACCCACAGACTGTCTCTCAGCACTTAAGGCGTCTTCTGTCCTCCAGGAGCCATGGTCATCGTCAGCGGCTGGGGGAAGCAGTTCTTGCACAGGTTCCCGGAGACTCTCATGGAGGTGATGTTCCACAGTCAGGGATGCAGAGGCATGGGCAAGGGTGGTGGGAGGTGTGCCAGGGCCCAGGCCCATTTCCCAGGCTCAGTGGAACCTTGCACCAGGAAAGCTTGATTTGTTTGCTGTACGCTCATGGCTGCTAAACAGCCATCAGTGTCTGCAGATTACTAAGCCCTTGGCTAATGGAAACTCTCCCCAGTGCAGCAGGTCTGGATGCCCTCGAGCCTTGTGATTCATTCTATACAACGAGGACTACATACCAGTTAGACAAGACCAGGCCCGCTCTTGAGAACCACAATGCTTGCAGAATTAAACCTGACTATTGCACGTAGAAGCTCGCTTTCCTGTCATTCAAGAAATGAACACTGCGTTCAGAACAGCAAGGCATGTTTTCAAGTCCTGGCTTCTACTTCTTTGCAGAGTTGTCAAAACAAGCCCTCTCTAGACCAGAGTGTATGGTCTGCAAAGTTAGAGTCAATTCTAACTTTAGTGAGAGGCAATTCTCGATGTCCTCTAAGCACCATTTCGCTGTGGCATTGCCAGGTTCCATGGTGCAGGCAATTTCTAAATCTTTCAACACACATTATGTTAATGTATGATAAAATTTTAGAATTCCCACCGCCATTCATCTCTTCATCTGTGAGTGCCCACATGTCTCTCTTGTCTCCTGTGTACCGCTTGGAGAGCAGGGGCATGAATGGATGGATCTGGCTCCTGGCCTCTTGGGCTTAGACAGATGCTATGGATGGGCTAAAGGTGGTGCGGGAGAAGCTCAGGTCTCCCTTGGGGGCTCGAGATCGCTTCCTCACAAAGGCAACACTTAGATGACATCTGATTGATGACTACAGCTTAGTCTGAGACCTGACAGAGCCCCAGGGCAAGCCCCTTATGATGTGGTTCCTCTCTACCTCTCCAAGGAAGCCAAGGCCCAAGGAGAACCTCAAGAGCTTTTGGTCCCTCCTCACAAGAGGAGGCTACATGTTTGAGGCACATGGTCCAGTCAGTTCTTGGTTCAGCTGAATGAAAATCATCCGATCCCTCTTATTCCAAATATTCCAATATTAACCTTCATGTCAAATCAAGAAAACAATAATCATAATCCCTTTTAGGTAGCAATGTACGGTCCAAGTTATAAAAGGCAGAGCGAGTGAGACACAGTCTCAGTGTGTAGAAGCCCACCCTGCAATGAGACAATAATGCAGCCAAATGCTTACCCTAAAAACTCTCTAGGCCTGTAATTTACAGAACACTGGATCATGCATTTCTTCTCTGTAGAACTCCACATGGCTTAGGGACTAAATATTATGACTTCCATTGCTCAGTGAGGAGACCGAGTCTCAGACATCTGAGAAGCAGTGATTAAGTGGCATGCTGGGAGTCCTAGAACTGCAGGTCCCACAGCAGGGGTGGGACAAAACAGGCTGACCACCATGGCTTGTATGCACATGGTCATACTCAAAAAAGTGCATGTGGTAGGGGAGTATTGTCATCCCCATTTTGCAGCTGAGAAATCAGAGCCCCAGAGTTACTTGTTCCTTGAAAGTGACTTGTGCAAGGTTGGGCAGCAAGCTCATAATAGAAACTGTAAGAGACATGGTGTTCTCGGTTCTCCCTTCAACTGCTCTTGAGCCTGAGCGTAGAGTAGATCCAGGATCTGGAAGAACAGGGATCCTCAGCCAGGCTGTTGTGTTTCAGATCGAAATCCCTCTTGTTGACCACCGCACCTGCAAGGAGGCCTACGCCCCACTAAAGAGGAAGGTGACCAAGGACATGATCTGCGCCGGGGAGAAGGAAGGTGAGACAAGGAGCTGACACAGAATCTGAGGCCCGGATGGGGCCCGGGGTAACCAGCCCTAGAGGGCTGGAGATGTCCTGTCCTGGCAGGCTGCTGGCGGGGTGGCGGTCAGATTCCGAGGGTCAGATTCCCCTAGATAAGATGCATCGGAAAGCAGAGTGTGGAGAGTTTGTCCCAATCTTCTGCTAAACCAGCGCTTCCTGAAATCTGCGCTCTGGAGAGGCCAGAGTGCGCAAACTCAGAGCCCGGCCCGGGTCGCATGGTCTGCTGTGCCCTCTGGTGTCTGATCTCTGAACTACAAACCAGACGTGGGGAAGGAGAATCCTTCGGATTTGGTCTGGGGAAGGGCACGCTTTCATCTCCTCTTCTTTTCATCCAGGGGGGAAGGACGCCTGTGCGGGCGACTCTGGAGGCCCCATGGTGACCCTGGATAGAGAGAGAGGCGAGTGGTACCTGGTGGGCACTGTGTCCTGGGGCGAAGGCTGCGGGCAGAAGGACCGCTATGGAGTGTATTCCAGTATCTACCACCACAAGGGCTGGATCCAGAACATCACCGGGATGAAGCACTGAGCGAGTCCTCAGCCCAGCGCCACTCGCGCGGTCAGGCCGTGCAGAGAAGGGGCATCGGGGAAGCAGCCGTTCTGCCCTCTCCCCACCTCGTACCCCACCCTCCAGCCCACCTACTACTGAGCATTTCTGTAGCTTTTCCCTCTGCAAGGAGGCAGAGTACCAGAGGGGCCAGAAGCCAAGGCCGAGTCCAGCCTCGGTCCATAGGATCTTTGTGATGCTGGGCCGCTGGTTTCAATTTTTGAACCGTTTCTTTGCCCCTGGGATGCAAATGGCACGCCTTCCCTACCTCTTAACAGTCTGCTGCGGGTGGAGTGAATGCGGACATCCACAGCACGTAGGCCTGTGCGTGGCCTGTGTGCTCAAGCAATGTGACGTGGCAGGGGACAAAGTTCTCTTACAAACTCCCAGGGATAACTCATCGCCCTCTGTCCATCCCCTTCCTGTGACCCTTACTCCTCCCTCCATAAAAAGGTGAAACATGTGAGACTCCTGGTCCTGTGGTCCGGCCCACAGCAATATAATTATGCACTTTAAGTAGGTACCAAATTGTAAGGGTGACTGGAGACAGAGACAGCAGACTGGGACTCAAGCCTGATGCTAGAATCGGCTCTGTCCCCAGCTTGCCATGGGGCCCAGGAAGGTTCCTTTTTCTCATCTTGAAGGGCACTCCCAGCTCTGACAATCCCAGATCCAAAGAAACCATATTTTCCCTTACATAAATGGGAAGTAATGTAACCCTAAGGCAAAAATTGTACTAAGTTCAAAAAAGCTCTGGTGCAAACAAAATGTGGCTTTGGCTTCTGTCCTGTAACCCCCCGCCCCACCCTCCCCACCCTCGTCCCGAAGGACTCAGTCTGAACAACACACAGCCTATGGGTCTTTCCTGATTCGCACGCAGAATATCCTTCCTGAGTCCTATCCCCAGCAGGATGCCTCTTCCACCCAAGAACACTTTCTTTCTCGAGGAGCTGCTGGCGACTTCATCCCCTCAAAAGTTCAGAAGATTTCAGGAGATCAGCAGCCCCAAGTCCCTGTCTCCTTTTCTAGCAGAATTTCTTTTCTTGGGGGACATTACCTCTTGCTCAGGGATGCAGTTTCTAGGTTGTCCTGAGTGTATTACTAAAAGGGAAAGCTCATGGGAATTGAGAATCTGTGGGCATTAGACACCCTGCCAAGCACTTAGAGACAGCAATTCATAGCCTGACCTAGTGCCAGGAGAAAGTCTACCTCTGCATAGCCTGCTTTTTAGTTCCTAAAGTGGAGATGACAAAAAGGCCCAACTTCATCAAATATTTATTAAGCAAGCCAGTGCTCTATTTTAAACACCAAAGAAAAAATGTGATGCAGAGTTTTAAGACTGCTTGCAAGGCATTCCACGACACCATACCTTCCCATTTGTCACTGCCTGGCTTCACCCCAGGGTCCAGGCTGTGCTGCCTAATGCTCTTGGGGTTGCAGAGGTGAGGGGAGTGTGCTTCACACCTTCCAGGAGCTGCTAGAAGGAGCTATGAAAGTGCCTAGCTGTCCACAGCGCATGGGAAGGGACCTTACCAAGCGCTTTGTTTAGAAGAGGCACAGGGTAGAAGACAGGCCATTATAGTATGGAGGAGTTGGGCAGGCAATATCAGAAAGATTTTCTGGAAACATATCCATGCTCAGGGTGGGTGTTTCCACAGATGACACAGAGGCAGGCCTTCCCGATGGAGAGAAAGCAAGAGTAAAGGTAAATCTAAGCTTCCTCAGGTTACACCAGCTCTTCCAGTGAAAATGACCCATCCAGGAGACAGGTGCTCTGGCCTTAGCAAAAAAATCTTTTTAAAAAGAGCCTTTCTCCTTCAAGTCTAGAATATTAAATGGGGGTGGAAGCAGTCGCAGGATTTCTATGCAGATAGCAACTTCCGGCTGAGCACAGTTTAGTCTGCTTTTTCCCAATTGCAATTTCATTTATACTCTGAGAAAGTGATGAGCTGCAGACCCTCACTTGCCTTTGATCTGCAAGCATTGGTGAGATGGGCAGCTCCTGCTCTGCCCAAGTCTCTCAGAGTTGCACAAGCAGAGGTGTCTATGTGGATTCCTTGTCTACCTCTATGACCGCCTGGATGCCTCTGGTGATGAGAAGCTCACTACCTCCAAACGCAGCCCATTCCAGCTTTAAAACATGTTGCTCTTAATCAGAATTCACTTCGGTGCAATCAAAATTTACCTCCTTAGAGTATAGTTTGTATAACTAAAGCTATAATTTCATACTGTGAATCCTGTTATTAGCACTAATGATCGTGCCTGGATTTCATTAGCAACAGAAGCCGCTCTTCTTGTGGGAAATGACACATTTCTTCTAATAAACATCTGCATTGAGTCAAAGATCCTTGTTTGGTTTATATGTTTTTGCATGCAATGGTGATTCCGATGAGTTGTTTTCGTGTTTCAAGGTTCTGCTCTATTTGATTAGGATCACTGTACCATGAAGAAGACAGAGATTGTGATGGGATATTTATGTCATAGATACAAAAGCCTGTCTTAGGATTTTTAAGGTCTATTCTGTTTAAATACTCTGTGCTATTATTCTTATAAATCATCCAAAGAATCCATAATATCAATGTTTTCAGCACTCAAATTGGATTTCTTGGATACCACCCGCACTGAGAATGAAAAGGGTTTCCAGCTGTATGTATTTTTCCAATGTGTGTTTTTAATGTTTGGCTCAGAAAAAGTGGCACTGGGTCCACACGAGCCGTGCTGGCTTGGCACACAGACGCTCCCTGTGTCAAGAGTTAATCTTGTTCATGGTATAGGTGTGGATGGCACAGATATGCAGCCCCACGGGGAGGCCCTTCCAGCTAAAGGGAGGCAAGAATCAGGGAGTGGAAACTTAATGCCCTCACAGCAGAGAGATCTTTGCCAGAGTGGATCTTGACAGCCAGAGTCTGGCTCCAGGGTAACCTAGGTTGACTCCTTTTGCCTCTTAATTTGCCATCTCTACCATGGCAGAGTAGTCTGCCCTTCGGAGACTGCTGAATCAGATGGATTGACAGGGAAAATTTTAGGGAAATTATAAACTTCGCCTCCAACTAAAAAGGGCTCCTTCAAACAGTGATCGATTCTAGGATGAGAGCAAGAAATACACAAGATGCACACTGTATGATATAGAGTGTGCCTAAGGAGAGTCACCTAGAAGGAAAAAAATCTCTCAAGCTTTTACAGAGAGCAAATTGGTCAAGCAATGGCCGTGACTCATCCACATGGCTGACACTGACAAAAGATCTACAAACTGCAGTACAGGGTTTCAGGGTAAATGGGGATTTGACTGACTTTATCAGATACAAAAGTTACATTTTTAGATATATAGGTCTTGCTTTAACTTGGTCTTAACCATCCAGCAGAAAAGTATAACCATGAAGTATAAAAAGCAATGCCATATTAACAGGCTGAGCTGCAAAAGGCTCAAGTTAACAACTTCAGACAATTGCCAGTTCAGCTGATAACCCACTAGTATTATGAACTATTGGACTATATTGGGTTATTTTGCTGAATTCAAGTACCTACAATATCTGAACTGGCATCAAGTATGAAAAGGTCCTTTAAAGACTTCTCCAAATACAGCTTCTCTAACATCAATGGAACACCCATCTCCGAAAAAACAAAACAAAAAAGGGGGCTATAAATAAAGGACCATTTTGTAGTGAAAAAATATAAGTATATGTATGTACAAAATAAGGTAGATATACAGCTACCTTCTACCTTCTATTAGTTCAATGAGAATAAAGGTCTGTACTAAGTGTTTAGACAGATATCATGTCTGCATCTTGTCCTCTGATTAACTACTATGAAGTCAACAATATGCAATGTATTAATTATTGTAACTGTCCTATTAACCTGTTTTGAAATTGTTTCATTGCTCATTCTCATTGAAATGAATTTTAAAAAATTTTTAAAAAGAAATATACAAGATGAGCCTGGAGCACCTTACAGGGCCTGAAAGAAAAGAAGTCATCAGAGAACTCAATGGTGCAACATGGGGGAAGGAAGTGAGACCCAAATGAAAGAGCTCTAATGGCCAAAGCTGGAAACACCTGAGCAACGAAACCAATAAAGCAGCATTGAAGAACAACCCCAAATCATAAAATGAATACCCATTAGTACACGCTGATATGAATGAATTCTTGACCAAATGTATAAATTGTGGCTAGACAAGTCTCCGATGGAGAAGGATGCCACATAATTCATGTGACTACTCTGGCCTCAGGAGATGGAGCATAGTTCCTCAATCCCTTTGGTGTTGATAGCACATGGTGATATCTTTCCAAAGAATTATGGAAGGAAGGAAAACAGAAATTGTACAGTGAAGAAACCTGACAAGCACTACTTCAGCCAGGTGGCCAAGGAGAACATGAACAATGACAAGGGGCATTGATATTATGTGACCAGGATATGCTGCACCAAAAATGGCTGTGCACCCCTGTACTCCCAGAATCCCAGAAGCCCAGTCTAATCATGAGAAACAAAACAAATTGGATCTGAGAAATACTCTACAAGCCACCTGATGGTGCTTCCCAAAACTGTGAAAGCCATGTTATAGGTAATAATATCATTAAGCTTCTCTTCTGAAGGGTTAGTAACTTAAGTTTGCAGACCAAAAATTAGAGGAAAAGCCAGTCCTAGCCCAGGTCCGGTGAGTGT